CTCCAAGGCTAAATTTCCCTGTTACTCCAGGTGTTTCTTGACTTCCTACTTTTGCATTCCAGTCCCCTATAATGAAAAGGACATATTTTTTGTGTGTTATTTCTAGAAGGTCTTGTAAGTCTTCATATAACTGTTCAACTTCAGCTTCTTCAGCATTACTAGTCGGGGCATAGAACTGGATTACCGTGATATTGAATGGTTTGCCTTGGAAACAAACAGTGATTATTCTGTCGTTTTTGAGACTGCATCCAAGTACTGCATTTTGGACTCTTTTGTTGACTATGATGGCTACTACATTTCTTCTAAGGGATTCCTGCCCACAGTAGTAGACATTATGGTCATCTGAGTTAAAATCACCCATTCCAGTGCATCTTAGTTCGCTGATTCCTAGCAGGTCGATGTTCACTCTTGTCATCTCCTGTTTGATCATTTCCAATTTGGCTTGATTCATGGACCTAACATTGCAGGTTCCTATGCAATATTGTTCTTTACAGCATCGAACCTGTCCAGAGTTTGTTCAAATTCATGTCCATTGAGTGGTGATGCTATGAAACCATCTCATCTTCTGCTGCATATCCACTTCATCTCCTCAGTCTTTCCCAGCATCAGGTTCTTTTCCAATTGTAGGCTCTTCACATCAGCTGGCCAAAGTATCAGAGCTTCTCCTTCAGCAGCAGTCCTTCTGATGAATATTCAGGGTTGATTTCCTTAAGGATTGACTGTTGATTTCCTTGCTGTCCTCAAGACTCTCAAGAGTCTTCTCCAGCACTGCAATTTGAAACCATCCATTCTTCAGTACTCAGCCTTCTTTTTATCCAACTCTCACATCTGTACATGACTGCTGGAAAAACATAGCTTTGACCATCAGGACCTGTGTCAGCGAAGTGATGTCTGTTTTTTAAATACCCTAGGTAGGGTTGTCATAGCTTTCCTTCCAAGGAGCAACTGTCTTTTAATTTCATGGTTGCAGTCACAGTCCAGAGTGATTTTGGAGCCCAAGAAAATCAAATCTGTCTTGCTTCATTCTACACCTTCTAATCCCTATTAGACAGCACACATTGTTTTGACCAGCCAATCTCCTTTGGTGCCCACCTCAAAGCCAGTTCAAGGGGACTGAGTAAGGATTCCCTTATTGTTTTCATGACTGTAAACGCCTTCACCTTTATACACTTTTTTTTTTTCTATTTAAAAGCAGTGAGACTAGACAGTAAATAAAGCATGTGAAAGACATTGAGAACAATATCCAACCAGACTTCTTACAGTGTTTTTTTGCCAAAAGGTTTCTATTTATATCTCAACCTAATTGGGTTGGAACACTGCAAAACGTGTTCAATTTCAAACACTTTTAGAAGCTCATCTGTGCTACATAGCTCTTTGACTAGAAAGTATTTTGAAATTAAGGAACTGAGATATCTTCTATTACAAATCAAAACTATTTGGAAATCAAACTATTAGAATATGAAATCTAGTAAGAGATCATTTGTATCTTTGGCATATAACCTGGCATGAGGCAGTCATTAAAGAATTAGTCTATCTATATATTCCCACCTACCCTTAAACATAATTACCAGACTCTTTTTTGTTAAAATTGATGATTTTAAATGCAAAATTTTCAGCAATTAAAATAAACTTTTCATAGTATGCATTCTTTCTTATACTCAGACTACAATATATCTGTACATCACAATTCTATCTGCTCTGATTTAAACAGTACCCCTTAGACTGTGATTAGGTCTCCAACATTTTTGCAAGAGGAAAGCATTAGTAACTAATGTTCTTGCCTGTATGATTGTGATAATTAAGACATTGTATTGCAAGGTTAGAGTGATGTCCCTGGATCAGTGTATCCAGAGACATTACTCACAGCAGGTTGACTTTCAAATTCCATTAACTTTCTCTTCTTATCTCAATTACGCTACACTGAGATTGCTATACAACTGATCACAGCAGACTGGAGGTTTATATCATGGCCAGTTTCAGTCTAACAGTCATTACTTTAATGTGGCTAGAATTCATAGGTTATGTTGTTCTTATTTATTTATAAACAAAAGACACTTTATAAGCCCCAAATAAGTGCTTTTGAAAAGAATTTTGATGCCAATTTTCTTCTCTATTAGGCCATATATTGACGGTTGATTTTCAATACAATTCAGAAGACAAAATGGAACTGTTGTTAGTTAATATTTTAAGTTTACAAGAACATTGAATCTGTATAGCATGTTAAGATCTCAAGTGGCCTTAAATAAATTTATATTATTTGATCATCATAGCAATATTATGAGATAACCAGTGCAGACATTATTATATTTAATAGATCAGAGGATCAGAATCATAGTAATGCTGCTAATTTTGTGTTCCCTCATTCAAGTTAAATAGACTGCACTAAAAATTCAATTTCTGAGTGAATGCAATAGCTTTAATTAATCTCTCACACTTAATTTTAATTGACAATGCAATGCAATTCTTTTTGGTTTAGCTTTTCTCCTTTGAGTAGAAACCAAATGCTAATGTGACTAATCTAGTCTTTTTCCCCCTCATCATTATCATCAGGGAAAACTTAAGGGTATAGCTTAAGGGTATAGTAAACAACCTACCTTCCAATGAGTAATTTACTAAATTACTAAATCACATTTTCCTTGCCTCAAACACTTTTTTCCTCTGATTATTAATATTGAAATTAAATCATCCATTCATCTTAACACGTGGAGTGACATATATTCATCATTTAGTACATATTCAATTATTACATACACACAAAAACATTGAATCATTTAAATCCCTAAAGACATTACAAATCTGATCTAATGACTTATGAATACTGGCCCTGCAGATTCCACTATGCAAATCCCTGAGTGTAAATCACCTGATGGGAAGTCACCTGATGACTGACAGAGGTCTGCAGTAGGTGTGTCTTTATCAGAATGAATGTTGGTAATATACTTTAAAGGTGAGGATGTATTCTCATCTTTTCAAAAATTCTTTAACATGATTTAATCTGAAATTCTGGACTTCCCAGGTGTCACTCGTGGTAAAGAATCTGCCTGACAACGCAGGGGACACAAGAGACATGGGTTTGAGCCCTGGGTAGGGAAGATCACTTGGAGAAGGAAATGGCAAACCACTCCAGTATCCTTGCCTGGGAAATCCCATGCACAGAGGAGCCTGGTGGGCTACAGTCCGTGGAGTTGAAGAGTTGGACACGACTGAGCGACTGAGCTCTATCTGAAATATTATCTGTAACATTAACTGGTAAATGTTTTTAAAGAATCATTTTTCAGAGATAACTTCAATATAATTAAGCATACTGTTAATTTCCAAACTGATATACGAGGAAATAATTTCATTATGGAAATTACACTATGCAATCTATGCAACAAATTTCTTCTCCTTTTACCTAAATATAATTACTTCTCACTGGGATTAACTTATTGTGAAGGGAAAAAAGTTTAATCATTAAGGAATTCCAGTGTAATAAATTAAGTTTAATTTATTAAACTTTTTAATAAATTTTTTTGTGTTTCTTTCTTTCTTTTTTTTTGCTTGTTTTTACTCACAAAACTTAGAGAATCTGACTTTGAGAATTTTATCTCTTTTAACTTAATGATTAGAAACTTTTCTTATACTCATCTTGTATATTTTTCATCTAACCAAATATCTTTTAAAATCAGTGCTTGAAAATTCAGAATTCTAACACCAATCACATATAATTCTTTTCCTTAACATTTTATAAGTTTAGTGTTTCCTTTGTAAGACAATAAATGGGATGATTAAAGAAAGGGATGCTTTTTGTGCATCATGAAACACTTTATTGACAGCATGTGGACATGTACTTTGCCTATATTAACATTATGTTTTGACTTGTGAATATATGGAACCCTTCAAAATAAGTCTCTCTTACTATATTTATTGATTCACCTTCTCTAGTTCATGTTAATAATACCTTCATATTTTATGTAAATTTCTTCTGCATCTTCCATTAATCAATCATGGGGTTATTTTCTAATTTAGAAAAAGGATGTGGTAAAACTAGTTCATGTTAATAATACCTTCATATTTTATGTAAATTTCTTCTGCATCTTCCATTAATCAATCATGGGGTTATTTTCTAATTTAGAAAAAGGATGTGGTAAAACTATAGTTTCCACTATTTAACAGATTGACAATCAACACAATCCCTTTGTTATTAAAGTACCTTTTTATATTTTAATCCACTTCAAATTAATACTTTCTGGGCTTAAAATAAATCATTTGCCTTTCTCTTTTAATATATTCAAAATGCAGCCACATTCTTGTTATATTTTATCATTTACCAGACTTAATAATTAGCAGAAAATTCTGAGCAAAATTATTGAAGCCTTTGGGTAACAATGCTTTCTTTAAATAAGTACAGATTTACACAGGTGTGATTATAATACATATTTTTACTTTGGTTTTTCCTCAAACTGGTAGCTAAGCATTTTATTCATTATGTATAAGTACACAATTTATACAGTATTTAAAAAATACAGATTACAGAATAATATATTTGGCCAAGGACAGTATGAAGATGTCATATCAAATATGTAAAAAATATGTTTCACTATGGAATCATATTTAACTAACTTATAGTGAAATCATATGTCAATTTGTCAAATTTAATGGTCTTTGCAATTATTTTGATTTCTTGCTTGCATTAGTGTTTCCTACTTTGCATTTTTATAGTGTCCTCTTTAAACCTGAAATTATTCTGTCAGTATATTGAATATAATATATTTATAAACAAACATAAACAGTTTTTAAAAAAGTCACAGAAACTTTTGGTCCCTTACCTTTCCCTATTATTTCTTTTCTTTGTAATACCCTTCTTATATTAATCATACACATATAATGAGAATGAGCAGAGTCATGTTTTTTAACATGTTGTCATTTCAGCAATACACACAATGTCAATTTGACAGTTAAATAGAATTCATTCCTTTTAACTGTGTTTGTGTACCTGTGTTTTTTTGTTTTTTTTTCAGTCAATTTACTGGATTCAAAAACCATTCAAGGGGAGCTGGGCTGGATCTCCTATCCATCACATGGGGTGAGTTTGGTTAACTTTTGAAAGGAACACAATTCTGTGCATTGCCTTTCTTAGAGATTAGGATTACTGGGGACAGGAACTCCTATACTTCTGATGAGAAATTTTGTTTATCACTGTAGTCAGTACATGGACTAACACAACTTAATATTTGTGTCCAATGGAACTATTGAGCATTTGGAAGTTTTTTTTTTCCCTCTTCTGAATTTATCCATAGCTTGAATGAACTAAAATAAGTGGTTTGACTATTACTGTCATCATGCAGATGATCTAAGCATGATACCTAACATCTTTTTGTGATGCAGTCAGAATCAGTGAGTTGAGAAGAGACTTCACAAATTTTAAGTGATATGGAAAATGTGTATTTGGAGATGGTTGCCTCTAGAGTTGTAGCCTTAAAATCAACTGTGGAGACAATTCCCAGTAGAGTAGGATGTATTTGTCAAGACTAGAAACCTGTGTTGCCTTCATTCTTTTGCTTAAAATGTCTTCAATTTGTCTAGGTCAGTTTAAAAATTAGGCATTTTATTTACAAAAATATATATATGCTTGCTAAGTCGTTCAGTCATGTCCAACTCCTTGTGACCCTTTGAACTATATAGCCCACCAGGATCTTTTGTCCATGGGATTCTCCAGGAAAGAATACTGGAGTGGGTTGCCATGCCCTCCTCCAGAGTATCTTCCCAACCCAGGGATCAAACCATCTCTCATATATCCTGCATAGACAGGTGGATTCTTTACCACTAGCACCACTTGGGAAGCCAGGAAAAATATGGCTGCCTTTAAATTCTAAGTTTTGTATATATCTTTAACATTATGAAACCAGACACAGGTTACTAAAGTGTATGCCATTTCGGGACCCAAATGTTTATGATGATTCTTTGTGTGAGAAAGTTTTCCTTTTCTTTTTTTAATTGAAGGATAATTGCTTTACAGTATTTTGTGGTTTTCTGTCATACATTCTTTCTTTCAGAAGAAAAAGAGGCTCATACATTTGGAAAATTCTTCTTCCTAAAAAACTACAAAAAATGCCTGAACACATCTGTTTTGTTTCCAAGGATAGCTTGTAGAAAATACAAAGTGCAATTTAGAAATAGTTGTTGTAGGAAAAAAGGTATATATTCCTATTTATTTTATTCCTACTCCATCCTCTTTTCAAAGAGGTTATAATTACTTTGACTTGGTGTTCAGTCTTTAGAATTCTGTGCCTAAACATACTAATTTTTACTAGCAGCTTCTTCCTCACCAACGGGTGTTTTGCATCAGGGATACTTCATCTATCTGTCATCTTGTATCTGCTTCTCTTTCTGGTGCACCTTGACATTGGCATAATGCCAAAACCTATCACATAATCAGGTCTTGGTTTGTGGCTCAGAAAGGGAGAGTATGACGTAAGCCAGCATTTGGTTTTCCCATAGGTGCAAAAGGAATCAAATGGTTAAGATAAAGCACATCCTGGGTAGTCATAACAAATGAGTAGAAACTCAGGACTGAGCTGGAAAACTGATTTAAAACTCATTGTCCAATTCATATTCAACTATAATGTTGATTTTAGAAATTTGAGTTTTTCATTACTCTATAAGTAACATATCGTAGAAGATATGATTGCTGTCTAAGAAGATATGAAAAGCAAAACCATACTAATTTTTTACATCTATAAATATAAATAGAATATATCTTTAAAAAATAAAAAATTAACAAATTAACTTAAATATCAAAGCAGCAGTTTACTTCTCTCTTTTTTATTTCTGCTTTAAAGAAGGTATAAGGAAAACTTGTTTCTCCATATTGAATATTTGGGGAAATGAATTCATTTACCTTGCTTATCTCATAGATTTCATGATGAACAAAGTTAACACTTTTATTTCCAGATATATGGGGGATGGGGAAGGGTGTTCTAAGACCCTGCCATGTAAAATGTGCATGCACCAATCAGCAGTGTCAGCATGTGGGGGATTCTCAGAAATGCAGCCCCACCCCAGACTTTCTGAGTCAGAATCTGCCTCTTAACATGGCCTCAGGTGATTCACATTAAAGCACATTAAATTTAAGAAGCACTCCTCAGGGTAAGGTTAACTTGCCTCTTGACTTTTCCCATCTCTTGCCCAATTTCCCACTTCCTTTCTCCTAGGAATCACTTATGGTTTTCTCATGAACAGCTTTCAGTCTCTCCTTCAGCCTCAGAAAGCTGACCTCAGGCACTATGGCCTCCTCTTCATGGCTTTTCTGGTTTATCTAGCAGCTGTGACTTCCCTATTTCAGATGCATTAAATGGCCTTAAAATAGCTGGCCAACCTCTCCAAGCTTATCATTAAAACTAGCAGGGAGATAAAAAAACATCTCCCTGACAGATAGGGATGTTTATAATATCTTAAGTCCCAAAAGATTTAGTAAACGAGAAAAGGAAAAATCAAATATGTAAATTATTGTCCTGGATTGATTTGTAGCACATTTTTTCTTTTAATCTTCTCCCCTTCACATATTATGTTAACCATAATGTCCATGAGGAAGTAAGTAGCACTAATTTAGAAAATGTCATGTTAATATTAATTTCTTTTTGAGATACTGATGATATTCTTGACTGGAAACTCTATGGTCAGTTGAAGTTTGGGATTTAACATCTTTGCTTGTATGATTGTGCCTGTAGATTCAATTTATTATTTTTATTGCCTAATCATTGCCATTTTCAATTTGACTAGAATATAAGAATTTTATGTTTGTTTTAGTTTAAAAGGAATAGATAGTTAAATCAGTAGTGATATATATGCCTCAGGGTTTTCCATAAAAAATGAAGTGATAGCTGGAAATAAGTTTGAACTAGTTATTGTTTTAATTAATTAACCCTAATAAGTAGAAGTGCATCTGTTTTCAGGTTAACTATAATATAAATATAAACTTTGGAGGAAAAAATTATAATGATGTCACAGCATACTTAATCACTTAAATATCCTACTCGCTTCTGTGTTTTTTTTTTTTTCTGAGAACATGCATGTTCTACTCTCTTAGAAAGTTTCAGTATTATGATACTGTGTTATCAGTTATAGTCACCAGGTATTACATTAGATCCTCAGTCCTTACTCCACAGCTGACAGCTTGTATCATTTTACCACCCCCTTCCCATTTCCCCCACCCTCACCTCTTGGCAACCACTTTTCTATTCTTTGTTTCTTTGACTGTGACTTGACAAGTGGTACAGAAAATCTGATACTTTTGATTTAGGGAAATGGTTCTCAATTGATGAAGGGGTAGATAAGTGGGGAGGCGATTTTGATTTTGCCCCGTGGGGATATTTGTCTGGAGATATGCTGGCTGTCACAACTGGGTAGGCAGGGTGCAACAGGCATCTAGTGTGGAAACTAGGGGTCCTACTTAACATCTTACAAAAAACATGACAGCTTCCTACAACTCAGAATGACCTGGTGCAAAATGACAGCTTCCAGGTTGAGAAGCCCTTACTCAAGGAGTGGATAATGGTGATCCATCAGAAGGTATGGTCACTGAAAAGACCTTAAGGGTAGTGAGCAACTTCTTTATAAGTCCCAGCCATACCTCCATCAGAAGCTCTAAATGCCGAATCTTTTTAAATATAAGTTTTAAGAAATAAACCAATAGTTCTTTCCAAATTTGAAATGTCTTTCATGTAATGATTACATCACCTGAGCTATCTAAAATTATTATTTGGGGGAAAGTTGTCAAGAGCGGCTCATTCCTTCATATATAGTCTTTTCTATTCCTATTCATTCTCTTCCCCAGAGATATATTCACACATAAAAACTTAGAATTGACTTATGTTATTTTCTTGGGAGGATTATTTCTCTCTCTATTTTTTAAATAGTGCTTCACATCTTAAAGGAAACCTAGAAGAAAAGTATGGTATTGTGTTAATTGCTCAGTCATGTCTGACTCTTTGCGACCTCATGGATTGTTGCCTGTCCATGGAATTCTCCAGGCAAAAATACTGGAGTGGGTTGCCATTCCCTTCTCCAGGAGATCTTCCTGACCCAGGGATCAAAACCAGGTCTCTTGCATTGCAAGTAGATTCTTTATCATCTGAGCTCTCAGTTTGGTACTATATTATTAGGTATGGGAAAAAAGATCTATGAAGAAGTTTAATGAAACTTCGGTGTTCTCTAATGAATTTCATGGAAATATTAGTCAAACTTGTCAACTGAAATTATCAAGAAGGTCATGATAATTTATTACAATTCATTTTCAATAAAAAGTTTTCTTTGGCATAGATATTTTCTGGTACTAAGTTTGTTCACTTTAGTAAAGCAAACAAGCAATTAACCTTCTCTGGCCCTATAAACTATGAATTACATCAATAACATTTGAATTTGGGGCTTAATTATTCAGAAGTGTTAGTAAATAAATCAGTAGTTTAAATATTTTTTTGATTTAGAGAATAATCAACATACATCAAGGCCCATACATATTGTTGGATTGTAATATAGAAAAAATCCATAGTTTACACATGACTAGTACTTAAATTGATTGGTCGATTGAAATGTCTTAGTCTGTGTATGATTACAGAGAAGAGATAGTAGGAAGTAGGCCACATAGTTTTCACTTAGGATAGTATTGGTAAGATGGTTAAGCAGTACAAAGGAATCAAGAACTTTGACTCAATTAAATAAACTCAACTAAGGAGAAGAAAATGAAGAGAGATTTGAGGGAGGGGTAGGGTAAAATTAAAAGTCTCAAAATCAGCAACTGTAAATTAAAAAAAAAATTAAACCTCCTCCATCTTTCAATTCTTTTAGGTATTTTTTGATAAAGATTTTCCTAGCTATTTATTGCTGACTTAACCGTGATAATGCACTTAAATAGAAAACAGTCTTCTGGCAAATAGAGACCCCACTGGTTGCTCACCCAATATTTGTTCCCTGGTTTTTCTTTGCTGATGGAACACTGAAACGGTTCATGTTTTCACCCCCCTATGTGTTTCTTTCGAAAATGACCCCTCTATTACTTTGCAGGGTGAGTATTGATTCATCTGAGAG